AATGTGTCCCCCCCGGAAACACAACCGGAATTAATGTGTGTCCCCCGGAAACAAAATCGGAATTAATGTGTCCCCCCGGAAACACAACCGGAATTAATGTGTTCCCCCGGAAACACAACCGGAATTATTGTGTGTCCCTCGAAACAAAACCGGAATTAATGTGTCCCCCCAGAAACACAACCGGAATTAATGTGTCCCCCCCGGAAACACAACCGGAATTAATGTGTGTGTCCCCGGAAACAAAATCGGAATTAATGTGTGTGTGTCCGGAAACACAACCGGAATTAATGTGTGTGTCCCGGAAACACAACCGGAATTAATGTTTCCCGCCCGGAAACAAAACCGGAAATAATGTGTGTGTCCGGGGGGACACATTAATTCCGGTTGTGTTTCTGGGGACACACACATTAATTCCGGTTGTGTTCCTGGGGGGGACACATTAATTCCATTATTAATGTGTGTCCCCTGGAAACACAACCGGAATTAATGTGTGTCCCCCCGGAAACAGAACCAGAATTAATGTGTGTCCCCCCCTGGAAACAAAACCGGAATTACCCGGGGGACACACATTAACCCCAACCAAGCTACGGTGGTTTGTGGGGTTTACGGTGGTTATCGTACTCAAATATTACTAGGAACCAACGACTGATGGAGGTGCCCGGTCGGGGTGCAGCTCACATTATGTATAAATCACTAGGCTGGTTTCCATGAGGAGTTTAACTCTGATCTAGTATTTTGCAGAATACTAAGCTAGCGTTGTTACAAAGTGCAGCTATTTGTGCTCCAACCTTTTATCTTTAGAAAACTAAAATCCGATATCTTATCCAGGTACGGTGTTATTTGCCAAATTGAGAACTTGCTGGAATCCAAAAGTGTTTTCACAATGAATTTCAATTTAAGGCTAAACTGGGGGGGGGGAGGGAGTAGTGTTTCCAATGCTCTCATTCATTCACTGGAAATTCCTGATAATTCTCACTTTAGTGCATAGCTGTGCTAATATAAAGGAAGAGTAAGAGGTAAAGAGGTTTAGTATTAGAAATAAAGCCAGTGAGTCAGCGATGGAGAGTTCTCTCCATTTTATTTGCTCCAGGAAGGGTAAATACAATGGAAAGTAGCAAATCAGAGAATCATGAAACTCCACATTGCTGCATTTTACATTGCCCTACATGTTACCATTATTTTTGTAAATTCCTCACAATTCAGAGTTTAGTGAATAAGCCAGTGTTCGCTTTCTTGCAGTGCAAGAAAGGAGCACTATAGGGTCAGGAACACAAAAACATGTATTCCTGACCCTATATGGTTAAAACCACCATCTAGCCCACCTGGGCCCCTCTTGCCTCCCTAAATCTAGTAAAATCTTACTTGTATTCAAGTCTGCAGCTGCATGCTTTGTCCCGGTTTCCTTTAGACCTGCCCACTGCCTGCCGACATCAGCAATCATCAGAAATCACAATGCCTCCCCATAGGATTGGCTGAGACTGACAAGGAGGCAGATCAGGGGCAGAGCCAGCATGATTCAAACACAGCCCTGGCCAATCAGCATCTCCTCAAAGAGATGAATTGAATCAATGAATCTCTATGATGAAAGTTCAGTGTCTGCATGCAGAGGGAGGAGACACTGAATGTTTGGATGCATTTTAGGCGGCCATGACCCAGGAAGGATCTCTAACAGCCATCTGAGGAGTGGCCAGTGAAGTTATCACTAGGCTGTAATGTAAACAATGCGTTTTTCTGGTTCTGTGTCCCTTTAATATTGTATGAACTGCCGCGATGACGATTGACTGGCAGGGCAACAGTTAATTTAAAATCCAATCTGTGTTTTCATCCAAGCACTATATTTAAAGGACCACTATAGGCACTCAGACCACTTCAGCTTAATGAAGTGGTCTGGGTGCGAGGTCCAGTTAGGTTTAACCCTTTTTGCGGTAAACATAGCAGTTTCAGAGAAACTGCTATGTTTACCTATGGGTTAATCCAGCCTCTAGTGGCTGTCTCATTGACAGCCGCTAGAGGAGCTTCCACGCTTCTCACTGTGATTTTCACAGTGAGAAGACACCAGCGTCCATAGGAAAGCATTGAGAATGCTTTCCTATGGACGCTGGCGTCTTCTCACTGAAAATTAGCATTCAGCCGATGACGGAAGAAGAGGGAGTTGAGTCCCAGCGCCGAGGGAGCCCGGCGCTGGAAAAAAGGTAAGGGATTAACCCGTTCCTCCCCCTTCAGAGCCACGGGAAATATAACATTTATATATTTGTTATAATATCCTTTAAATTGTGTCAATTTTAACAGTAAAATCTTTCAAAGCCGCTATGTAAAGTGCAGGGATTGTAGTCGCTTTATAAAATTCTACACTAATTGAGCACTTATGGCTTGAATGTAGAAAAAAAAAATCCATAATAAAAGTTAAAGAGGTTTTAGTTGCTGTATTTGCATTCCAAGTCATGAGACCAGGAAGTAATCAGCCAGTGAGAGGGATGTGCTCATCATTTAAGTTTCTTCAAACAGGGATTCTGGCAGTTTTAGTTCACTTATTGCAGCTTTCTACTTATCAAAGCTGTTCGCTAAACTGCAACTCACAGAAGCTTTTGCTGTGCTTCTGGGTGAAATGAACAACTGAGCAGGTTAGGAGTAGAAGAAACAGGTTGGACATAACCAACGTCACATTGCCCGTCTAACTATCCCTGCAGTGGGGGACAATACAGATAGATATTTAGGCAAAAAGCTAAAATGCTAAAAGAGCCAAATGCATAAGGGTTGTTTTTAGACACTCACTTTAAACTAGCCTTCATAGACAGACACAATAAATAGTCTGTACACAGTTTAAATATGTTACAGTCTTTATTCATCATGGTTGGTCACTCTATATATAATTGTTGCCTAAAGTAACAAATCTGTAGCTCGAGATGCATCACACAGTTGGTATTGTGACGGAATGCACGCACACTCGAACAGTTCATTGTAAATTAAGTGCCCTTCATTATTCTGGATATGATCACACAGCGCATCGGTTAGTTTACTTTCTCAAAGTATTCCTTCGAGCCCTCCGGATTGGGTTTAATCTGCAATAAAAGTCATGGCCATTAAAACAAGCAATGTAGCGTATCTGAGCCCATTTCAGATTGAATAACTACTAATTTATTCACATGAAAAGACTGGACACTTTCTAGAGTCAATTTCACTGCCAATTATACAGAATTTAGGAAACCATAAAGATACATACCATTCAATATATCTGTACATTTCAATGGCCTCTGCCCTTAAAGACAGGAAGAGGCAAAGACCTCTAATGTAAAGTATAAAACTGGAGCTACAAGTGCTGTACATTTATTAACATTTAAAGTGCCATGTAGCTGCATGAGCGGTTTACGTTTCAGCAGATGCAGAACATCTCTGGTACTTATAATACAACTGGTACATGTGGACTCCATATCGGACTATCTACAGGGAGTGCAGAATTATTAAGCAAGTTGTATTTTTGAGGATTAATTTTATTATTGAACAACAACCATGTTCTCAATGAACCCAAAAAAACTCATTAATATCAAAGCTGAATATTTTTGGAAGTAGTTTTTAGTTTGTTTTTAGTTTTAGCTATGTTAGGGGGATATCTGTGTGTGCAGGTGACTATTACTGTGCATAATTATTAGGCAACTTAACAAAAAACAAATATATACCCATTTCAATTATTTATTATTACCAGTGAAACCAATATAACATCTCAACATTCACAAATATACATTTCTGACATTCAAAAACAAAACAAAAACAAATCAGTGACCAATATAGCCACCTTTCTTTGCAAGGACACTCAAAAGCCTGCCATCCATGGATTCTGTCAGTGTTTTGATCTGTTCACCATCAACATTGCGTGCAGCAGCAACCACAGCCTCCCAGACACTGTTCAGAGAGGTGTACTGTTTTCCCTCCTTGTAAATCTCACATTTGATGATGGACCACAGGTTCTCAATGGGGTTCAGATCAGGTGAACAAGGAGGCCATGCCATTAGATTTTCTTCTTTTATACCCTTTCTTGCCAGCCACACTGTGGAGTACTTGGACGCGTGTGATGGAGCATTGTCCTGCATGAAAATCATGTTTTTCTTGAAGGATGCAGACTTTTTCCTGTACCACTGCTTGAAGAAGGTGTCTTCCAGGAACTGGCAGTAGGACTGGGAGTTGAGCTTGACTCCATCCTCAACCCGAAAAGGCCCCACAAGCTCATCTTTGATGATACCAGCCCAAACCAGTACTCCACCTCCACCTTGCTGGCGCCTGAGTCGGACTGGAGCTCTCTGCCCTTTACCAATCCAGCCACGGCCCATCCATCTGGCCCATCAAGACTCACTCTCATTTCATCAGTCCATAAAACCTTAGAAAAATCAGTCTTGAGATATTTCTTGGCCCAGTCTTGACGTTTCAGCTTGTGTGTCTTGGTCAGTGGTGGTCGTCTGTCAGCCTTTCTTACCTTGGCCATGTCTCTGAGTATTGTACACCTTGTGCTTTTGGGCACTCCAGTGATGTTGCAGCTCTGAAATATGGCCAAACTGGTGGCAAGTGGCATCGTGGCAGCTGCACGCTTGACTTTTCTCAGTTCATGGGCAGTTATTTGCGCCTTGGTTTTTCCACACGCTTCTTGTGACCCTGTTGACTATTTTGAATGAAACGCTTGATTGTTCGATGATCACGCTTCAGAAGCTTTGCAATTTTAAGAGTGCTGCATCCCTCTGCATGATATCTCACTATTTTTGACTTTTCTGAGCCTGTCAAGTCTTTTTTTTGACCCATTTTGCCAAAGGAAAGGAAGTTGCCTAATAATTATGCACACCTGATATAGGGTGTTGATGTCATTAGACCACACCCCTTCTCATTACAGAGATGCACATCACCTAATATGCTTAATTGGTAGTAGGCTTTCAAGCCTATATAGCTTGGAGTAAGACAACATGCATACAGAGGATGATGTGGTCAAAATACTCATTTGCCTAATTTGCCTAATAATTCTGCACTCCCTGTATATTCTCCACCTTTTTTCTTACCTCTAACAGTCAGACTGTAAAGGATATATACTTTTTATACAGACCTTCTTCCATCCTATATTCCTTTAAACTGAAATAAATGTCTGTTCACATTAGACAGATTAAGGTTTAGATTTAGAGTAAGATTCAGATGTAACAACTGATATATTACAACATATTGCAACATTAATTTGTATTTAGTTGTTTCTATCTGCCAAATGTCAAATTATGACTATATAGCTGCAACATACTTTATGTCAATTTGGACTTTTCTCCTATCAATCACGATTTTATTAAAGAAACGGAGGCTCATATTATGCATAACTCTTTCTTTATTTCCTCAGCAGCAAAGATAGAGGAATATAAATATTGTCAAAATGAAAGAAAAAACTGTATAGATACACAGGCAACCAATCACATAACAGAGGAAGTGACTATATAAGGCCTGTGTCTCCCACAATCCTCCTCTTTCTTTGCTGCTTCCTCAGACCAGTTAAGTACCTTAATCTTGCTCTACATGTTTCATCATTTATTGCTCTTTTATTGCTGTTTTACACATTTGATTATTATTGTTGTGTATTTACTGTGTTCTGTTTATCTCCTGTGGTGTGCCTAGTGGGTTTTCCCTTCTTCAGTTTCTGTTTTTCCCCGCGGAGGGGATTCCCTCCTTTACTTTCCCCTGCGGCTGGCTTCCCTTCTGGGTGCTCGCGCCCAGTTTGTGGGAGGCTGTTTGCCGTGGTCTGCTCTTGCCGACCGCGGCTACACGTCCCTCGCTCTCGCGACCTCCGTGCCGCGTGGGTAAGGTGCACGCGCCCCTTCCCCCAGTGTGTCCTGGCCGAGAGCGATGCCCGCCGGCCTCCACGTGCGGCGGCCATCTTGGAGGCGGAGCTTACTCGCGGCCTGTCCTACTACTCCCTGCGGCTCGCGGTCAGCCTGCTGCCCGCCCCTGGGGTCCCCTGGGCACACCTGACAGCGCATTTATCTTTATTCTTCTTCCTGTGGGTTACTCAACCCTGTTACTCTACTGCATCTTTGAGTATTTTCCCTGCCATTTGCAAGACAGGGATGAGGGGCAAGAGGGCCTTCCTGACACTTTTAATCAGGATGTTCCTGAGGGTAATATAGCTTCCCAAGAATTCCAAGCCCTCTTGGATGCCACTATGGCACCATCCTTGCAGAGGACCTTTGCCTCTGCCATGGGAGCGGTGTCCACATCGTTCTCCCAGTCTCTGCAGAATATGCTTTTGCCCTCCTTGGCGGCTCCCTCCCCCCTGGGTGATGGGACCCCCCCGCCGGCCCCCGCCATGCCTGGGGCTCGTAAGGCAAGGGCTAAGGCAAAACACGTCAGCTTCCACTCCTCGATGCAGGTTATGCCTGCCATGATGGACTCGCTTGACGCGGTCACAGAAGGCGCGCCTCCCACGCGCAAAAGAGCCCCTGGCCGGGCTAAAAAGGCTAGATTGTGGAAACGGGCTAGAGCCCTGGATGATGGGTCGGATACCGACCGGAGTGTGGAGAATGAGTCTGACGCTATGGAGTA